GAACTTGGATTGCCTCTTGGCCTCCTTCAGCCTCCTTTTCACTTCCAAAATGCTGCCCCCTTGGGTCCTAATGCCCAAGGGGCAGCTTTACTTGAGAGAAAAAAACCTAGTGGGCCTTTTTCTCGATTTTTTCAGTTTCTACCCCATTTTGGGTAGGCCGAGATATTTTCCCATGCAGAGGTGCATTTTCAGCCTTGGATCTGGCTGAGATCCAAGGCCAACAATATTTTGTGCCACCCCCAAGAAACCCTTGCTTCAAATTTAAGCCCTTAAGTCCACTTTTTCAATGTTTGGTGCATCTGGCTCTTTTTTTGGGCCAAATGCACAGTTTCGTTTCTTTCCCTTTTTTGTTTTCTTTCCATTTTGGGCTGCCACCTCATTCCGGAGCTAGCCGTTTTGAGCTGGCCCACAAAAAAACGGCTAGTTCCTCTCTACCAAGAGATCGGATCTTAAATCCATGGTCCACAAAAAAAACGGTCATCTCCTTTTTGCATTTTCTCTCATTTTCTCCTTTTTAATTCAGATATTGTGGAGATTTGGCCCTAAGGGCCATATCTCTGCAATCCGGTTTGCCTTCCCTCATCCTAGGAGGGATGAGGTCACACTGTGTAGGTCGCAATAGGCCGACACATTCTCCTCCACTCTTTTCTCCCCTTTTGTCCCCTTTTGTCTCATTCTTCCCCCATTTTCTCTCCTTTTTCCTTCTTTTTTCTTTTATTTCAGTTGTGCCAATTGTCAAATAGTTGTGCACCGTCTTTCTAGGCCTTGGGGCCTCATTCATGGGCAGATTCATAGCTGGTACTTATCTCGGATTTCAACAATGGCACCCCCATGCTCCTCGGGGGCTCCATATTGCCTACGTTTGTCCAATTTTGAGCCTTGTTTACTCCGATTTTCTATGGACAACCTTTTTCTCATGTTAAGCCTCTTGAGGCTCTATTTTGTCATGCCTAGCTAGTACGAGATATTTCGTACTGCTGAGCAGCCCTCCCAACACCATTATTTTACTTTTTTTTCTCCTCATGACTCTCCCACTTGGCCCCACTAGTGTTTGTTCTAGTGGTGCTAATATTTTCCACTGTCTAGATCCTTGATCTTGACAGTGCCATTTGCTTGCGCAATTACTTCTTGTGTTGGCCCGTGGTTCCCTTGGGACATCTCAAGTCCCCGCCACTTTCCTCCTCACTAGTTCCATTTTCTTGTCCTGCTGGTGGTCCCGTCGGCGCGTGTTTCATTTTTCGACTTCTATTATTTGACCCCACTTGGTCCCAGGCAACATCCCAGATGGTGTCCCATTTTTATTTTGGGACCCCCTTGCCCTTGGTGGTCCCAACATCTCTCCCTTAGGTGCCACATGTGTGCCAATTTTTCTAGGCCATGAGATCTCATCTCACGGTCGCCGTTTACCGTCTCTACTTGCCCCATGCCGAAATCACATTTTCTAGCCTTTTGGGTTTGTCGTGGCTCATTTCCCCTTAGCCTAGGCATCCTCATGCAGTCCGTTATTTCTCGGACCGCATTCGTGGTCATTTTCCTAGTCCCACAACCCCACAACTTGTCCCATGCTAGAAGAAAATAAAGCGTTTGGTTTCTAAGTGCATCCAGACTCAATATTGGCTCCGGATGCACCTAAAACATGTGTTTTTCCTTCCCCATGCAGCCCGTTGCAACTCGGACTGCAATAGGGGTCAATTCCTTAGCCCCAATGCCCCACAAGTAGCCCTTACTAAAAAGAAAAAGAAACGGCCAACTCCCAAGTGCATCCGGGCTCAATCTTGGCTCCGAATGCACCTAAAACATGTGTTTCTCCTCCCCCACGTAATCCGTTATTTTTCGATTGCATGGGGCCTTGATTTTCTTTGATTTTTGCATTTTCTCTGCAAAAATCAAAGAAAATCAAAGTCCATTGCAACCGTCATATTCCAAAACAAATCTGGCCACGGATGTATTTCCCCAAGTGGCCGTTTTAACCGTTAAGGCCTTTTTCTCTTATCTTTTCTTTTCTTTTCTTTTTTCTTTTCTTTTCTTTTTCCTCCTTTCTTGGACAGTAGGGACCTGTCAGTCCCTACTTGTGGCAGTCCCTACTTGTGGCAGTCCCTACTGACGGCCAACTCACTCACTCCCTCTCACTCTTTTTGTCTCATCCTCCCACTTTTTTTTTTCTTTTCTTTCTTTTTCCGAGCATGCCAAGTGTCAAGTGGCCGTTAAGGCCTTTTTCTAGCCCCTTCCTTTTAGTTTTGGCCCTTCCTATGCCCAAGGTGTAGTCCGTTATATCTCGGACTGCAATAATGACCTTCTCATGCCCACGAGAGTTTCCTTTTACCTCTATTTTCCTCCCACAGTGGCCCCTCTTGCTCCGATTTTCTCCCGGAGGCCTATTTTTATCATGGGGTGTCTTTTGACTCCATTTTCTTGAGGGAGGCTGATCCGAGATTTTTCGGATTGCTCCCATGCCTCCCACTTCAAGTTTCTTTAGTTTTTCTTTTTCTTTTGGCCTCCCCGTTTGCTACCGCTAGTGCTTGCACTAGCGGTGCTAATATTCTTGGCCGTCAAGATCTTGATCTTGACGGTGCACCTTATCTTAATTATTTTCCCCACATGTGGTGTCGCCGTCTCTTCTTGAGACCTTCACGCGTCCCGCCACTTATCTCGTTAGTAGTCCCCGACACTTCGTCCCGCTGGTGGTCCCCGACACTTAGTCCCCCCGGTGGTCCCCGACACTTAGTCCCGTCGGTGGTCCCCGACACTTAGTCCTGCCGGTGGTCCTCGACACATTTTGTCCCGGATACCATTATTTTTACTTAGTCCCACGTGGCCCCTGGCGCCTTTTCCCAAGGTGGCCCACGCTCCTTGGGCGTTTGCCGTCCTATGGTGGCCCCTCTTTCTTGCTTTTTCTTGGCCTTGCGTGCGCTATTTTTCTCTGACCGTGGGGCCTCCAATCCGAGGCTCCCGTTAATTGTCGTAGGTGGCCCCCATATTGGGCCTTTATTCTCTAGTGTCCCACGACCTCCGGGGCCGTCCATCTCTCGACTTCCTCATTCTTTTGTCGTTGTCGTGCCACGTTTGCTGGTTCAAGGGCCCCTTGGCCTTAATCTTGTAGAATTCCAACGGCCCTCCTGGCCTCATGCTATGTCCTATGTGCCCCTGTTCTTGCGCTTACTTGCTTGTCGTCGCTGGTTCTTTCCTCCTATGGTTCTCACCTCAGGGCATCACTACGGCCTAATCCTTTGCCTTTTCTCTCGCTTTCCTCCTTGCTCCAGCTTTCTCTGGCTATATACAGTCTCTCGAGTGACGGGATGTTATTCGGGACCCACCAGGCCCGACACATTCCCCCCCACTCATTCGCGATGTCCTCATCGCGCACCAATTTCCTGTCAGTGGGGTTCGGAGGGATAGACGGGGGCGAAGGACGAAATGTCATATGTGGTTAGTTTGTCAGGGTCCGTTTTGTCTTTTCTTGTTCCTTTCTCGGATTTCTTCTAGTCTCCGGTCCTCGGAGCGGGAAGAGGTGTGTAGGATTCAGGCTTTCTTTGTCCTTCAGGCTTCCCATGTCTCATTCATTACTCTTAGAACATCAGATCCCCTTCATCTCATTCATTACCCGAAGTACATCAAGCCTTTTTTCGTCTCATTCATCACCCGAAGTACATCAAACCTCCTTTCGTCTCATTCATCACTCGAAGTACATCAAGCCTCCTTTCGTCTCATTCATCACCCGAAGTACATCAAGTCTCTTTTCAACTCTCCTTTTCTCGTTGCCCCTGCTTCTCCCCTGAGCCTTGCCGTCCCAGGCGCCCTTGGTTGATCCTCCTTCCATCCCGTGGCAACCAGGTCCCTTTTCCGGCCTCCGTCACCCTTAATGCCTCTTGTACTCGGCTCTTCAGCCTGTGCAATCCATGCTTCTCCATTCTCAAGTTGAACAGCCTGATTAGGGCCATTCCTTTTCATTCTCAAGTCGAACAGCCTGGTTAGGGCCATTCCTCTCCATTCTCAAGTCGAACAGCCTGGTTAGGGCCATTCCTTTCCATTCTCAATGTTACCGCCCGAGGGGGTGGGCCTCGAGGACACGGATCCCATTTCTGTCTCGGGGGTTAGAAGGTGGTCATTTCTTGCAACTTTTTGCCTGCGATTTCCTTTGTCCATTTCTCAATATCATTTACTGTCCTTTCAAACATCCGGCTTAGCGTCTAGTGCTCGAATTGAGGCTCACAACCCCAAGGAACACTAGCCCACCCGGTCGTTCAACCATAGCAAAAGACCGGGGCACCCCCTCTATTTTCACTCTTTCTGGTCTCTCAGATCTTGGTTATTTTTCGACTCATTCACGACTTAGTTGGATTAGGCTCCTAGGGAAGGAGTGTTCTTCACGCCCCTTAACCCATAGGTTCCCTAACCTCTCTTGTATTCGACCAATCATTCAATGTCTTGCTTTGCTCGTCAATCTGTACTCACAGTTTTTCTTCTCAAAGGCACAATCCTCATTCCATCCAAAGTTCACAATACACCCTTCCCAACCAGTGTCATCCCATGCCCCGTGTCATTGTCTTGTATACCCACTTTCGAAGGTAGCTCATCCAGAAAGTAGCCTCAAAATGCTATCTTCTAACTCATCGTGACACAGTCTTAGCTAGTCCTCCCATCACTCATCCTTAGCAAGCTTACTCATACTATACACATTCTGCCGTTCCTATGTTTGCAAACGAAAAAACACAATTCTTGTTCGATACTTAACAACATCTAATCCTTATTGCTGTCATGTGCCTCAACTCGCTCAGTCTCTTGTCCATTTTTTCTTTCCGCTGGCTTTTTAACTCCCAGACCGGAGGCCATGATTTCTCTCTTCCTCTTCGCAATCTCTCGCAACTCCATCTCACTGTAGAAATTCAAAGGTGTGGCTGCCACCCCTGCCTCCGCGAGTTCCCTGGTCGTGATAATCAAATCATGCTTAATCATACTAAGCCATTGTTGAAACCAATGACTGGGCGTTGGCCCAAACTCACCTTCCCATCTGAAGGCCTCTTCGTGCGGCTGGCGCATCGGGGGTCGCCTCTCTTCTCTAGGCCTTGAGATTTCATCCCTCTCATCGCCACTGCTGATTTCTATGACCTCTTGTACTTCCTCCTCCTCATCCACCTCCTCTTCCGTCTGTATGGGGCTGTACCCTCCCGTGAGGTTTTTCGGATCGAAGCTATAGGGAATCTCTGTGCTTCTCTCATATCCCTCCTCTAAGTCCGGGTATCTCCCCTCACAACTGCCATGACCGCTCCGCTCTTCATGCGGGTTTTCCCTTCTCTCCTCCTCATCCTCACGTGTGTCGCATATGTCCTGTCTCCCCTCGCTCTCCCCATGCCAGGACTCATGTTGTTCGCATCTCTCGACCCCTCCCTCGTCAGAGGCCTGAGCCTTTTCTCCCACACTCGCCCTCTCTTCCTCGCTCTCACTTCCGGATGAGATGTATATACCTTCTCCCTACCGGAGGGGTGAAGGCCCTCTACACACGCGCTTTCTTACTCCCCTGCCTACCACTTGTTTGGACATGAACCCTACGTACAGTTTTCTCTTGGCAGTCCTCTGCACTCAACTTGGTCCCGCACCTCCCCCTTCGGTAGGTCTGTTGCCCAACTATCATTCTCGTTGCTGAATTCCGTTTTTGTTTTTCTCGTGTTTTCTCCCTGGTCCTGTATAACAAAACAACACCCGCCAAGCCCCTCATACACACGTTCCCCCAGTCCGATAGGCAATTCCCCTTCCCCCAGAATGCTCTAAGTACCCTTCGCATCATGCCACTAGTATACATTCCTTTCTCATGCAAATGCCCCATTTGTGATGATCCCATTATTTTCCCATAAAAAAACTATCATACAATGCTTCTGACAATCTTTCCCGTCGTCACACAAAAACCCGTTATCGCAAAGTCGCAAGACATCCCGCCTTCCAACTTCAGTCAGTTCAAACCATTGCCCCTGCCCCAAAAAAATGACAGTCCCACAGAAGCAGTCAAAGACAAAACCATAGCGTGGGCAAGGTCGTTGTCAGTCCTTAGCTTGTAGCCCCTCAGTTTCCTTATCCTTGGCCTCCTGAAGCCATTGTTCCACTGGGTCCCGACTTAGAAACCTGACCACTTGTTGCCTCGGGAAGGGTCCTTTCAATCTAGTTCCATTCAAATCTTTCAGCTCGAAGGTGTTAAGTCCCACCCGCTTGGCGACCCGGTAGGGGCCTTTGAGCCTCCACCCCAGTTGTCCAGACCAAGTGTTTTCTACTGCTGAGTTTCTAAGCAATACCGTCTCCCCCACCTGAAGTGGCTCCTTTCTAATATTCTTAACCTGGTCCCACCTTGCTTTGTCCCTCATTCTGCTGTCTTGTACCCGATTGGTGGTCTTCCATGACCTCCTCGTTCCTAAGAACTTGTTGACATCTTGCCTCGATTAATTCTTCCGTGGTCATACGCGGATTGTCATCTAACCTGTTCCATGTTGGTATCAAGGCTTCCACGGGAAAATCGATCTCTCTCCCGTACCAAAGTGCTGCTGGGATACATCCCGTTGTCCTCTTAGGTGTCACGCTCTCCGAGAAGACAGCCTGCTTAAGATACCTGGGCCAGCTCCCCAGATTGTCTGCTGCGAGCTTCGCAATTGTGTTCTTTAAGGCCCGGTGCCCCCTTTCCACAGGTGCGTTGGCCTCCGGGTGATACGGCTCGATGAGTTTGATCGGTACGCAGAGCCTCTTAAGCATTCCCAATACTTATTGGTTCACAAATTTTGTTCGATTGTCCACTATAGACCTCCTGATGAAGGGATGCCTCAGATAGAAATCTTATATCCAATCAACTATACTCCTCCCCGTCTTTTTCTTAAGGGCGACTGCTTCTACGAACCCACTCAAGTTGTCCCGTGCGTCCAGGATATACCTATATCTGTCTGTTGACACGGGCATAACCGCGAGGTCAAGGTGGACCCGATGTCCTGGCCCCAACACCCGTGTTGGTCTAAGTGGCTCGAAGATGCGAGCCGAGCTCCGTTCCTGGCAGATCAGGCAGGTCTTACAGTACGTAGCGACCATACCTGCCATGCCTGGCCAATAGTAGAGGGGCGCCATCTTTGCGAGAGTTCCTTTGGACGATCAATGTCCTTCTGCTAGTCAATCGTGCATTGCCTGGATCACGTCCAACTGTCTAGACCTTCTGCATACAACTCTCCTTGGCATAACGCCTTCCTCCCTCCGGAATAGATGGCCGCCCCTTAGGACGTACCTCTCGACCTCCTCCCTTGCCTTAAAGCCGACTTCCATGGGTTGTTTATTTCCTACCAGCAGCAATCCGATCTCACGAAAAATCCCTTCGTATATCTGAGCATAGAAAAACTCCCTTCCTTGCTGCACCTCGTCCGTTCCCTCCTTCATCTGGTTTACTATCCACTGCAACTCTTTTCGCTCCCAAGACTCCACTAGGCTCATCACGAATTTCCGGCCTCCCTCAACTGCCATTGCTATCAATTCCTCCTTTGGTCCTACTATCGCTCCCCACGAATCCCTCTCCTCCTTGTGTCCTCGATCGGCGACTGGTCCTTCTTTAAGTTCTGCTACGACGGCCGGAGCCCATTTTTCCAAGGTCTGGATCAACAACTCTCGCGACGCGCATCCTTTGCCCATCATTTCATTATCCACTGCGAGTGTCCCTCCTTCGTATTCAAGGAATGCATCTATGGGCTCCGCGTCTTCCACTCCTTCGGGCATGATACAAACCCGACTCAGCCCATCGGCCTTGTTTCTGAGTCCAGCAATTCGTTCGATCTTGTAATCGAACTGCCAGATGAATCCTACCCATCTCCCCACCGTCGGGTCTATAGGCTTGTAATTCTTTAGAGCCCCTGCGACATTCGTTGGGTCAAAATCGAACTGCCAGATGAATCTTTAGGCTTATAATTCTTTAGGCTTGTAATTCTTAGGCTTGTAATCCTTTAGGCTTGTAATTCTTTAGGCTTGTAATCGAACTGCCACTCCTCCGGGTCTTTAGGCTTGTAATTCTTTAGGCTTGTAATCGAACTGCCAGATGAATCCTACCCATCTCCCCACCGTCGGGTCTATAGGCTTGTAATTCTTTAGAGCCCCTGCGACATTCGTTGGGTCGATTCATAGGATGAACCGCCTCCCAAATAGGTAGGCTTGGATGGTCTTGAGACAATGCAGAATGGCTAGGACCTCCTTCTGGAACTGTGAGTAGCGCCGTTCTGCGGAGTTCAGGGTTCTACTTTCGAACTGAATTGGCCTCTCCTTTCCTTCCTCATCCCTTTGAATCAATACGCCTCCTACGGCCAAGGGTCCTCCGTCCGTCTCTAAGATGAATGGTCGTCCCACTTCGTCATTAAAACAGGGCGCTGACACGGCGACTTGCTCAGATGTCAGTATGTCCTTGAGGGCTTGGACGGCTCCTTCTCGCTCCTCCATCCAATCTATGGTCCCTTCTTCTCTGATCATGGCCCGGATAGGCTCAACAATCTTGGCAAAACTCTTAATTAAAATCCTCCAAAAGCCGACCACGCCTAAGAATGCTCTTACCTCCGTCGTTGTTTACAGGGGTGTCGGCCACTGTGATATCTTGTCTGTCTTAGCCGGGTCTGGTTTCCTACCGTATGCGCCGCAGCAAAATCCCAGTATAGTTACTTCCAGTACTGCTAGAATACTCTTTGGCCCGCTAACCGTGATGTTGTACACTAGGAATCGGCGAAGTAAGTCCTTGATGTCTTGTAGATAGTCCCATACAAATCTTCAGATTCCCGGCTGGACTTCCGTCTCGTCCTTCTCTTGGGCGCCTTTGATCGGGTTGTCATCGATGTAGGGCTCACACTTCTCTGGGAACATGTCTCCGGCTACAGCGAGCATTTTCCTTTGCGCTTCGGCTACTGCGTTCGTAAAACCCATAGGGGTCACCTGCATCTGCAACTGGCCTACGGGGGTGTGCATTGCGGTGTGCGGTCTGTTCCGAGCATCCAATGGAAGTTGGTAGTATCCCGAGTACAAATCTATCAGGGAGTAAATGCTCCAGCCGACGTGGGACTGTGCTAATAAGTCGGCCTGAGGTAGCGAACCAGCATCCTGAATGGTCACCGCATTCAACTTCTGCAGATCTTGAATCCATCTAAGCGTCTTGTTGCGTTTTCGAAAGACGAACCACCTGTTCGCGTACGGTGACGCCGTAGGCTCTGCGACGAAGAAGTCCATCTTTGCTCGAAGGAGGTCTGTCACTTCCCCCGCTATCCCAAATTTATAGGACGGACCCTTGTTATTCCAGCACTCATGCTCTACCGTGTGGATTCTGACCGGAGGAATTAACTTCGCGTCCAACCGCCCCGTTTGGTGATCACTAAAGGCAAATGTCAGGTGACTTTTCTGGCAGGTCCTTTTGATCAGGCGGGTTTCTTCTTCCGTTAAGAATCCCTCTGCTCCTATCTTCATTGTATCAGCTACCTCATCTGATATCCGATGCCCTTCCGTCGCCCTCCTCTTTCGGATCACTCGAAGGACTTCCTCCTCCTTCTTCATAGCCTCTTCCTTGGATGTCTCTAGCAGGATCGAGACCGGTTTTGCTTTCTTCCCTACTGGCTTGTATTTTTGAACACTTCCTTCCAGGATCTTTCTCCTAAAAAATGAACGGTCGGGATTACTCCTGTTGTCTCTGCGACCCGTGGCTGAATACTGACTAGTTTCCCATTCAGACAATACCCTTTATGTACTTCTCCTTCAAATTTGGCCAGTGTCGTTGGGTCCACCCCTACTTTGTGATACCTGATAGCTTTGATGAGCTGCAATACGTCGGGGATCTCAAGCGCGATTTCCGGTATCTCCTTCCGCACTTCTTTCCGTTTGGGCAGGCTGGCTCCAAGCTCAACTTCTGACTCCTTTTCCGCCACCATAACCCCTAAGACCTCATCCTCCTGCCTTCTCTTCTTTTTGAGGCAGGCCCATCTTGATCGATTCCTTTTTGTTGAATGTCTCCTCAATCATAATTTCTACCCTTTCTCTCATACCTTCCATTCGCGCAAAAGCCTTTTTCCGTGCACTATCTTCGAATGACGGCGACCACGTTGCTAACTTCCGTTTAGGCGGGTCCCCTCCGGTCCCAATGAGTCGGGGGAGCTCCCCACGGCCAGTTACTGGATCCTCTATATCTACCATGTACATGCTATCGTGCAAGTGCATGCCTATCATTTCTACGTTGGTGCACCATGGTCTCCCGAGGATTATGTCGTGGTCTATTTCCTCCATTACGGTCATCCGCTGAAACGACGAGATCGACCCCCTAATTCCTGCCTTGACCGCACATTTCGTGACATACCCAGCGAACGGAATTTTTCGACCGGCTCCCAGGATGCTCCCTGTTACCTCCTTATTTACCGTACAGCCGGTAATTGTTGCGAAGTCTCTTCTTATGAGAGTGATTACTGTTCCCCCGTCTACTAATGCGTCAGTATGATGAGTCCTGATCTGGACTTTCAGCTTTCCTACGGGCAGTGCATGGAAGCTAAGCTTCGTTCCGAGTGGTGCCCTCATGACCTCGCCACCTTCTCGGTCCGGCAAGCTCAGGCGGATGTCTGCAAAGGCCCTCTCTAAATCTTCCAAATCTCCAGGACTCCTTTGAAGATTAGCGAGCTCTTGTGGAGCTTCCTCCTCCCTTTCCTCTTCTTGTGGTTCCGGATTCTCGGCTATCTCTACTCGCCGGCGAGTCAACAGTTGCCTAAGCCCTTTGAGCAGTCTGGGGCTGGCTTGCTACATGGTCTGAAACGACACTGAGACCATGGTTCCTAGCAGTTTGCTAAGGATGTCCTCGATCTCAGGTATAGTTAGAATCGGGATTTGATACCTAAACTTTTTCTTCGCCGTTGTGGCCTTGTCCTTAGGCTCCTCTTCCTTACGTTTCCCGTAAACTTTCTCTGGTTCCCCGGCTTCGGGCTCTGCCTGGGGCGCTTCCATCACAGTATCACAAATAATCCTTCTCCCAGCCGTCTCTAATCGAGTAGTCGCGTTCACCCTATCACGTCCGTCACTTTCCAAAATGAAGTTGACCTGCGGCCCGCGGCCCCTGCGTTGGTCCTAGATGATATCGACCACCAGCTCAGCTTCTACTGCTGCTATTTCTAACCCATCGAGCATGATAATGGCGCGCCGCTTTCCCCCTGGTGAGTTCCAATTCACCCGTTTTCCCTGTGGTCCGAATATTTCTCCTTTTAGTGATCTGGTACATCTCCTTTTTAATATATCGTGGTTGGGTTTAGGACATGCGCGCACAAAATGCCCCACCGCGGTGCAGTACCTGCATTGCTCATTAGCGGGATCTCTCCGACCGAACCCTCGGTTGGCTACTCTTGCCGGAACTACGGCTTCCTGGGGAGGGAGGGCGGGTCGGGATACTTGCGCCTGCATAACCAGAAGCGCATTCTCCACCCTTTCAATCTTATTGTCAACTCCGTGCACTCGTTCATGTAGACTTTCAATCCCCTTTTTTACCTTGTCGCCTGTCCTACCGGTCAGATCTATGACCTCCCCTTCCTTAAGCAAGGCCACTGTCTCGGTCACTATTGTCTTCCCGGCCAGATCCGTTACCGCACTGAAATCAACATCCCCGGTGTTTACAAATTTGCTCGTCTGTTGGTAAGCCGATAGGATCTTGTCCTTGTCGAACTCGGAGAACTGCCTGAGGAAGTACTTGCTCATTATCCGGTCTGTAACCTCGGGGATCCTTAGTGCTACCAAGGTAAACTCCCGTAGGAAGTCATTGTACGTTGCGAAGTTCTTCCTCTGAACTGCCGCTAAGTCAGCCTCCGTTGCCATTTTCTTCGCTGCCAGGTACTTCTGCATCA